ATTGATGAGCAGCACTCATCAAAGGTCCAAGAAGGCAGATGGAAACAGCCCTTCTCTCCGCTGACCAATGAGGCATTCCTAAGTTGACAATCCTATTCTGTGCACACAAACACTTTACTTATAGGTAGGCAGTGTCTAGAGGTGGTTTTTGTCTCGCCCCTTCACCCAGGAATTTTCCCTCTTCTGACTGGGAGTCCCTCTTGTCTCTGGAGAGGCAACATAGGCTCACAAATGAAGATATGTCTCAGAAAGGCTGACCGAACACACAGAGCTGTGAGTTCGACCTAAGTCACGAGTTCATGGGAGATAAGGATATGAAGGCACAAACAGAGGTCATTACGTCTAATCGTCATAATCAACAAACGAGTATTAAGGATTTTTGCACAGCAAACATTCAGCTGGAACAAAAGTAAAGGTCAAGTCTCTCCTAAATTGGTACCCAACAGGAACCTCTGCAAACAGGCAAGTATAGTATTTGCTAATAGAAAATTAAGCAGAGCTGGCTGGAAGCATAGATTCAGACCAATGGCATCCTTGGGCAGATCAGAGAAACTAAGGATGGAATGTAAGACTTCTGTTCATGGTTGGAATATGGGAAACTGTAAGAAAGCCTCTCAAAAAATCCATGATAATGAGAAACAACCAAATAAAGTAAAAAACAGTTTTCCCATGAGAGTACCAAAAAGCAATGAAAATATGACTTTAATGGAACAAGTTCCGGAGAGATAGATCTAGAGATGCGCAGATGAACACAGAGCTATAGGAGGAGAATGGAAGGTGGAGAGAGAAGACTTGAGTGGAGAAATCAGGTGAGACCTCGCTAACAAGGTAAGGTGAGGACAGACTTGGGTCTTGAAGGCTTCCATTCCCAAAACCAAATCCCGTGCAAGAATACTGACAGAAACTGCTGTGGATGTTTTGGGCAAGTGTTCACCAGATCCGGCACAAAGACAATCATCCCCACACATGTGGTATGCAAACCGCTGAAAATCAAAGATGTGAAGTGAAAATGGACAGAAGTTAGTCAGACAGTGGTTCGGAGCAAAGATAAGTGTTCCAGGCAGAGGAGACAACGTGCTTAAAGAGCCACGGTTCCAGAAATGGAAAGAAGCCGGGCACACGGAGAACAGTGAAGGGTAACATTGAAGAAGTGAGCCGGCAGCTGAGTGTTGGACAGAGCTTGATATGTGGAATGGGCCACAGCTGTCAATGGGAGCTGGCAGGTACTTAGATAATCTACACAGTAGAGCCTCATGGACCCCTACAGTTAGGCAACCTTTCCAAGACACACTTGTTATTCTGTTCCAAATGGAATGATAACCCTAAAATAAGATTCTCGTCAAGTGACTCCCTACTTTTACTCTTTGTGGGCCCGCCACCCAGCCCCGAATGAATACATGGAGACTTATTCTTACTTCTCAATGCCTGGCCTTAGCTTGGCTTGTTTCTTGCCAGCTTTTCTTAAATTATCCCATCTACCTTTTGCCTCTGGGCTTTTATCTTCTATATTCCGTTCTCTCCTTCTTACTCCTTGGCTGGTTGTGTAGCTGAGTGGCTGCCCCTAGAGTCCTCCTCTTCCCCTATCCACATCCTCCCTTTCTCTCTTCTCCTATTGATTCTCCCTACATGCCAGCCCTGCCTGTTTCTCTGTCCTGCCTAGCTATGGGCTGCTCAGCTCTTTATTAGACCAATCAGGTGTTTTAGACAGGCAAAGTAACACAGCTTTACAGAGTTACACATGGAGCATAAAAGAATGGAACACATCTTTGCGTCATTAAACAAATATCCCACAGCAGAAACAAATGTAATGCAACTTAAAACAATATTCCACACACCCTGCTTAAGGCTCCTGAGCAGCTTCAATAGTGTTTTTGTTCCATACCCTTCCATGATTTCTCATTTCACTCAGAGAGCAACTGAAAGTCCCTGCCACGATGTGCCCTTCAAAGCACCTCATGTTTTTGTTTTTCAAGACAAGGTTTCTCTGTGTAACAGTCCTGGCTGTCCTGGAACTCACTCTGTAGACCAGGCTGGCCTTGAGCTCACAGAGATCTGCCTGTCTCTGCCTATGCCTCCCGAGTGCTGGGTTTAAAGGCATCACCACCACCGTCTGACACACCTCACATTTTAAAAGTCTTTGATTATTTCGCCTTCAGTGTTCCATTGTGACACCTGGAAGTAGATTTATGAAGAAAGCAGGGATAATCTGGCAAGGACACTCAGAGTGACCAGAGTGCTGGAGAAGGCGTGGGAGAGAGAGGAGGAAGAGAAACCTGCTTTTGTGAAACATTGAGGTCCCTAAATAAGACCCAACAAGTACAGCACCAACGCACATGTTAACACGGAAGAGGGAGACCCCCACCCCTAAACAAAGAACTAGAGCTACTAAGATAGGCCATGAGTAGAGAAACAGTCTCCTGGAGATGAGCCTCTAATTCATTATCCAGTACCAACTGGCCAGCCCTGAAATCATATAAATACAAGTAGCACTAAATGAGCAGACCAAATTGCATTTATATATTAGGGAGAGGCTACTAAGGGAAGAGAAGGGAGATGAGGGAGATATGATGTACTTATTTTGCAATTTCAAAAATAAAAAAAAAAACAACAATAAAAACCTGACCTCTTATAGCACAAAAAAGCTATTAAAGTTAGGGTAACAAGAGAGTAGGCTGGAAAGACTGAATATGTGGACAGACAGAAATGTTTCAGTAGAAATGTGGAGGGGGTGAAGATACTGACAAGTTCCAGGGATTGAAGACTGAGCATCAAGCTCTATGGCTGAAGAGTAAAGATTAAGGCATTTGGAGGGCAATTGAAGGAACTGAGAAACCAGGGTACCAACATCATCTCTAGACATTCAAAAGAGGGTGAGTGAGAGAAACCGAACTACAGGCATGTCAGACCTTAGGGCATGAACTCAGAACTATGCGGGCATGTATACAGAGAAGGGAAAGACGATGGCTAGAAGCAGCTAGTACTGCTCTTCAGGGCACGCTCTAGCCAAGCCTTTACTATCAGTCTCTCATTTATTTCTCTCCCAGTCTAGACTTTGAACAACTCTGCATCTCTGTTATCTGTTTATATTCATGAGCACTCAAGCTTTATCTCTTCTTTTGTTCATTTCCGTATGCCTGTTTGTAACATGTTGAGTTCATTTGAATAGATGGCTGAAGGGATGGATAAAAGGATGGCTGTTTAATGCTAAGAGCCATGACTGCATCATAATAAGCACTTAAAATTGTATATTTCATCTACTAATTATTTCTCACTGAAAAGCAGTCTGGCTGGTATTAATTGGGGACTCATAAGAAAAGAATAGCCTTTGCTCCAAGGAATTTACAGCCTAATGGAAAAATTCCAGGTCGTATGGACTTTATCAAGGGGAGAAAACAAAACATAAGTACAGTTGCCTAGAACTGTCACAGTGTTTATGTTATTTATACTTGTGCTGCAAGTACAGTTTAGGCATACCTCATTTTATTGTGCTTAGGTTTACTTTCCAGATACTTGCTTTTGTTCTCTGGACAAACTAAAGCTCTGTGGCAACTGCAAGGGGCAAGTCTATTTGCTGGTCCTCTTTCCAACAGTGTGTGATAACATCTTAGTAATTCTCGCAGAACTTGCAACTTTCTCATTATGTCTATTACAGAATTTGGGATCACTAACAATTGGTTACTACTGCATTTGAGTGCCACAAGCCATGCCCATATAAAGGGCATAACCCTTTAGCATTATCTGTGTCCTGACTAGTTCCACTACCTGTGTCTTCCTGGAACCCCTGAAACACATTATAAACCCTATAGCTCACACATGGAGATCTCTTAAGTTTGGGCATGAAAGAAGAGTCTCCTCTCTCTCACGTTAAACCAAATACTAGAAAGGATAAGGTCAAAAAGCTAAGCCCATTCTGCCAGTAAGTCAGGTTGTAAAGACAGAGGAAACATTTAAATAAATTAGTTTTTAAAAATTTTTGTTAAAACTTGCAAATAAACACACACACACACACACACACACACACACACACACACTTTTCCCTTCAGCAAGGAAAGGAACTTGCTAAAGGGAATTAACATGAATGATAACAAAAAGAAAAGAAAAAGAAAAGAAAAAAGAATATATATTTCTCATTATTCTCCATCTCTAAAACACTCTTCATTCCAGATTGTCATCTTTTGTTGTGGTGGTGGTAGTAGCTATTGTTTTATTTTTAGAGACAGAGTTTCTCTGTAGTTTTGGGTCTTGTCCTAAAACTTGCTCTGTAGACCAGGCTTGCTTCGAACTCACAGAGCATCCCAAGTGCTGGGACTAAAGGCATGCACCACCACTGCCCGGATCCAGACTGTCTTTTTTTTAGGGGGGGGCAGGGTCAAGAGAGGGTCTCTGTAGCTTTGGAAGCTGCCCTGGAACTCACTCAGTAGAGCAGGCTAGCTCCGAACTCAGATCCATCTGCCTCTGCCTCTGCCTCCCGAGTGCTGGGACCAAAGGCATATGCCATCACTGCATGGTCAAATTGTCCTCCTAACTCTTCTTAATGTTAAGTAGCTACTAAAGTTGGTTTCCTCTTTTTTTGCTTGGACAACTGAGGAGTGCCTGTTTTCTACAGCACCATAGCACTTTGAGTCCGTGTGGGTGCATGTACCCCTAGATACACAGTGATTTCTGTGCTAATTTACAATGCCACACCTTTCACAGGATTTTGTTTGCACATCCACCGAAATTTTGCACATCAAGATCCTGCATGTCTTCATTATTCTTTGGAGACGGTGGTTTTCAACTCCGTCTCTTCAGTATTTCTCTCTGTGCGTGTTTTCTCGGATGTTTTTCAGATTTAACAGCTGAAACAGCAACTGCTCATCATCATCAGCAGCGATCCCCAGGCCTACTTTACAATCGGTGTCTTGAACTACCAATCCCAGAATGCTGAGCGCGAGCGAGGGGGCGGGCTCGCCGAGGCCACCGATTGATTGGTGGGTTCGGGTTCTTCCTTCCGGAAAGGCCGCGGAGTCGGGGTGCTCTGCCGGGCTGGGAGGGGCTTGTGCCTGAGCCCCGGGGTCCCCATCCGCTGAGGAGATGGATGAGGATGGGCTTCCTCTCATGGGGTCAGGCATAGACCTGACTAAGGTTTGTAAAAGATGGCGTGAGCTCCAGGCGATCGGGGAAGCCGCTTGGCCACGGGGCCCCGGTTCCCGGGGAGAAGCCGCCTCTCCGGCCCCTGTGCGGGGGGAAGGGGCCCGCAGCCCCCTTTGGAGGGTTCCTCCTGGCTGATGAAAGCCTTGGTGCAGCCTCACTCCCCACACCACGTGTGTCCGCGCCCAGGGTGACAGCCTGGAGATCGTGGAGATGGTGCCGCTTCTGACACGGCCCTTTAACCCTCCCCGTCTCTCCCTCCCTCCCTTTTGCTCGTGTGTGTGTGTGTGTGTGTGTGTGTCTAGCACGTTCTCAAACTTGCGCAGCCCCTGTCACTTTGACACACACAAGGTTCGGGGAAACAACTCAGTGACTGTTCTCAGCTCTCCGTGAAATCCATGCCACAGGGCAAAATCCTGCTCGTTGTGAACCCCAGCTCTCCAGAGGGTTGCACAGTGTAGTACATCATCTCTCCTGTAAGAATCACATTTGCTTGTTTTCACACGACGCAGGTGCCGGCTATTCAACAGAAAAGAACCGTGGCCTTTCTAAACCAGTTTGTGGTGCACACGGTGCAGTTTCTCAACCGGTTCTCCACCGTTTGTGAGGAGGTAGGTCCTGTGCTGATGCTACCTGGTGTGTGGTAGCTGAGAAGCCACCTCCCACCTTTCGGGTTAACAGAGAGAAGCAAGAATTACAGCCTTCTCCAACTGTGTAAGACACCTCTTCCATTCGGCTACCATCAGTCCTGTACCCTGCCTCGGCTCTGAATTCATATTCTAGAAGTTTCTGTGAGATAGCTCAATCAAGTTTGTTGTGATTGTGAGACACACACACACACACAATTTCACAGTGAAATGTTTTTTATCCTAAAAATGAACTTTTCATTTTCCTACTCCAGAGATTTATATTTTAAGTATATACTTGCATTTATATCAAATTACTTTGCATTCTTTGAGCCATAGTGGTTCAGGGAGGAAGCCTAGAAATACATTAAAAAAAAAAAAAAAAAAAAACCCCTTCTGCAAATGGCCAGATAACACGCACAGTTAAGAATTAGGGGTCAGGTCCAGGAACCCCTCCTGATCTATGAGACTGATTTTTATTTGGTTGTTTGGTTTGGGTTTTTTTTTTAAAGACAGGGAGGAAAATGGGGAATGAATGTATGTTGGAACTGACTTGAAGAAAGGAAGTGAAGACACGGTTAGACAATTCCCAGCTGAATTAATGCAACGTTCTCTTATCTTAGGTTGTCTTACACATGGCAAACCCTTAACAAAGTTAGATGTGTGACTGTTAATCAGAACTGCCTGCAGACACGAAGCTTCTCATTTGTGTAAAATGCGAGCTGTTTATAAGTTGTGGATTGTGAGTAAGGTCTTGAACGGGGTAGGCATGCACTCTGCCTCTGAGCAACATCCCTACCCCAGCTGTTGCTTTTATTTCTTCATCAAAATGTCTTCAGCTTTTCCTCGAAATTTAATGACTAATGACACAGTAAGGAGCTTAGTTCTGTGTACATAACATATTAACAGCCCCCAAGACGAGATGCTTACTCCCAGGCATCTCTCTCTCTCTCTCTCTCATTTTGTTTTAGTCTTTTAAGAAATTTAAGATTTGTTTTTATTTTATGTGTGTGAGTGTTTTGCTCACATGTTTATCTGTCCGCTACATCTGTGTCTGATGCCTACAGAGGTCACAAGAGGACATGAGATCTCCTAGTACTGTAGCTATGGACAGTTAAGAGCCACTGTGTGGATGCTGACGGTCAGTTCTGGGTTCTTCGCAAGTACAGGTGCCCTCAGCTGGGAAGCCACCTCTTCAGCCTGTTCTCTATTACACCATTGCGTCTCCAGATAGAGTAAGGAATGCACTGAGGGATGGGTGCTAAGATTTTCACCTTCCAGGTTTTATAACACACTTCCTTTTTACTCTAGGTCAGACTATATAGCAGAAAGAAGCAAGTGTTGGTTCTCTCCGTTGTGCAGTTGCCCTTACTGAGTTCAACAAAACTAGCACACAGGGCTAGGAAAGCAATCTGATACACGCACTCTGGGGCAGGGTTAGCTCCAAGTCTCACTGTCTGGAGAATGTTGTTTTTTTTTTTTTAATTAGGAGTGAACTGCAGGCAGAAAGGCACACTCTCCCTGCACCCTCATCTAAATCAGCCATAACGGTACACTCCAGCCAGCTAAACTCAAGCTGGGATTAAATTTGAAACAAATTTAGCTCTTTCTTCATCTGCTACTTTGCTTTTTGTTTTGTTCTAGAGTTTTCTGCTAAAAAGAACAGTATAGAACACTTATGTTGTTATAAAGAACTCAACTCAATATATTAAAAAAAAAACAAAACTCTTTTTTATGTTGTTAAGAACTCAGCTTTGTGCATACTAGGCGACTTTGTAGATAATTCTAATTCTTTGCCTGCTGAGACCAGACACAAAGGAACCAGAGAAAGGAACGCAGTTGAATCAGACCCAAGTTACAGCGTTGCGTAGGGTCATCTCCTCTTCCTTCACAAATCCCCGGCAGACGTTCCTGCTCCCATCATCGGAACATCGTGCATCCACCACTCAGCTCTTCCTGCTGTGAAATCTGGGCAGACGCTGTCTTACAGTGAATCACTGGCTCCACAGTCCTGTGTCAACAGGATAGGTGGATGTTTTATCTTGACACAGATTTGGCACACAATACTGGATTTTAAGTCATTGCTAATCTTTTTCTTCTTTAAATACAAGCAAAGGTGTTGAGAATTCTCATCTAACAAATTTATAGTGTTTATCTCTCATATCCAAATTTTAGGCCCACGTTAAACTTAACCTTCAAACAAATGATGTCTTTCTTCAACCCTTTCTGAGGTTTTGCTACATCTTTATAGTGGGGAGGCTTAAGAGTTTATGCAGCTTAATGAAGACATTGATTAATTCCCTTGCTGGCCTCTAGGACACACAACACAGCAGACTACATTGGGATCAACTTAAAAAACTGTTTTAGAGATGTGGCTATAGATGCTCAGCATTTTATACTCCTAAACGTATGTCATCTCATTATTCACAGGGATATTAACTAACCTTCCCTAGAGCTGGCTTAAAGATCTCAAGTGTTGAGTGTTTTTGGATTTTCTGTTGTTCTGTAGAATTGTGAGAATCATTTCTTAATGCAGCACTCTTTGTGAGTTTTTAAATTAATAACTGGACTATTTGGAGGAGTTTTTAGAATGTCAATGTAGTATAAAACTGCTAAGGTTTTTTTCTTGAAATTGTTTTTACATTGGTAAAATATATGTAGCTTCAGCATAGGTGGTAGTAGCCATCGTAAGGAAAAGACTACTGTTCAGAATACTTGTCCCTGCAATTATCAAAGGTGTCTAGATAAATATTTATAAGCTACCACGTGTTGATAGCAATGCCTTTCATGCTTGAAAGATAAATCATTCATGATTTCTGAGGCTTTGATAGTGCCAGGAGAGAGTAGGTAAAATGAGTGTCAAATAAAATAGTCTGTATCATACCGAGAGGGAGAAAACTATTACTCTGAAGTGATCATTTTTTCCCAAGCATCTTCAGTCTGTTCAGGTATGTAGATTTCTAAGCAGACATTTTTACTCCCTTAATCACTAAGATCTGTCTTTCCTCTCTTGGTCAACCCTATGTAGATCCTCATTCAATACTCAGTGACAAGTTAGTGTTATATTCCAGTCATGAGAATATTTGATACTGCTTTAAAACTAATAAGAATTGAAGGCAAATGGCATCTGCCTTAGTAAATGTTCCAAATCAGGAAATCTTGGTTTCCAGTCTGTATGTCCAGAGCTTACTGAAAACTCGTCAGTTGATTACTAACTCTAGGTGATGAATCTACCATTGTGTTATAGCAGACTCCTGTCAGGTCTGAAGTGCTTTGGTTCAGGTTACTTCACTTTGTATGAAATCTCGCTTTTTTGTTGTTCTCTTAATGAGCAACGTCATTCCTACTTCATAGATATGCTGTGAGGGTTGGAATGATATGTTGCAGACACAGTTTTTCACACACAAATGCTCAGACATTTACAATATTAAATCTGTCTAAAAGTATATATTTATGTGGGTATATTTAAGCATAAAACCTAATTTGGGGAACTGGAGCAATAACCCAGTCAATAAAATGCTTCTCACGAAAGCATGAGGACTTTGATGTGTCAGAGCCCATATGAAAGTCATGCGTGAAGGAGCACATCATCTGACCTCAGTGCTGGGCGGGAGCAGAGGGAGGGTCCCTGGGACACGCTCACCAGGCCACCAACCGAATTGAGAGCTCCAGGTACAGGGAAATACCCTGTCTCGGAACTTAAAAGAGCTCAGTTAGGAAGAGGCCAGTTTTGACCTCTGGCCTCCACATACACTCACATGTATGTGCATTCTCACATACCCATTAACATGGACATGCACATACATACATAAAATAGTACATTTTGAACTTTTTTTTTAAATGTTCATTTTACTTAAACTGATATGCTCATTTTTCACATATGGCATTTATCATTTTACAAATTAATTTGTTAACGAGATTTCTTCTCTAGTGAATTAAAAGACTTATTAAATTTGCCACAATTGAATTTCCATGATTTTTCAGGAATGTGCCCCTAATTTGGATAGCATGACATGTTTTATAACTTGTATTTATGTTTACATAACAGCTTATTGTGAACAAATCTTAAAGTTAAACTTAGCATTGATGCCATTAAAACAAGTTTTCTCCCAGGGACACGGCGGTAAGCTGAGCATTGGGAAGACTGGGGCACTGACAATTGAAGCCAGCCAACCCTATCTGAAACATGAAACCAAAACCAGAAATTAACTTATGTGTGTTTCATTTCCAGACGATTGCTTTAAAAGTAAATGTTCTGAGGGTGGACAGATAGCCCAGTGGTTAAAAGCATGCTCCCCTCTTACTGAGGCCCCAGGTTTGCCTTCAGCACCCAAATTAGGTGATTCACAACTGCCTGTAACTCCAGCTCCAGGAGACCTGACGCCCTCCTCTGGCCTCCATGGGTACCTACACTCATGTGCACATGCTCACAGACACATACCCATAATTTAAAATGCACTTTATCTTTAATAAAAAAAGAAAAACATGTATTCTGTAGTTGTACACTTTGCATCAGCTATGAGAAAAGAATGTGATAGTATAATAAAATGTAACGTGAGCTAAATAATATTAAAGTACTGTCTCACTCATATACCAGTCTTGTGGATCTAAGTTATCAGAACAATTGCTATATCCAAAAGCAGTTTCTTCTGTTATGTCCTCTGATATTGTTGCTCCAGTGTCCACTCAGGCTTTTATTGTCATTCCCAAGATTGAAGATGGGGTATTATACATCTTCATCTCTGCTTGCAAAAGTGAAGGAGACAAAATACAACAATAGGTAAAATAAAAAGAAAGCAGCTTTTATTTAAATTTCAGATGAGAGATTCCGGTGCAGTAATATACCCTGCCATTCCAGCTATTTGAGTGGCTCAGGCAGGGAGCTGCTGTGAACCTGTTTGAGACCTCTCTAGGTAGTACTGATAGATCCTGCTTAAAACAACCAGGCGTCCTATGCAGCACTAAGAGCTCAGTGTTTTATTCCTAATTGTGGACAGAATGGGCTTGGGGCATCAAGGCTCTGTTTTTAATAAGGATTTTTATGTTACTCCAGGTAGCAAACAAAATGCTGCCTCTGCCATAGAGTCAACTGACTAACTCTCTGAAATGTATAACAAAATATGGTAATGTTTAGAATCAAGGCATTCAGTAATAGTTTTTTATGGATTGTACATCATTACGCTAACTTTTATTGTGAAAGTGTGTGTGTGTGTGTGTGTGTGTGCGCGCGCACGTGCGTGCGTAGATGGATGAATTTATATGTGGTAAATTGCATGCATTGTGTGCACGTGTACAGGTTTGCATGCACATGGCATCCAGAGCTAACATCAGATATTATTGGAGCAGGGTCTCTTAATGAACCCACTGCTCACTGATTTGGCTGGTCCTGCCATCCACTTTGCGTTGGAAATCCAGTCTCTACAGCCCATGTGTTGGGATTGCAGGTGGGCCACCATGCTTGCCTGGCTTCTGTGTGGATGCTGGGGATGCAAACTCCAGTCCACACACTGGAGTGGCACATGCTTTATCCTCTGAACCATCTGCCTAGGGCCAGATGGAAAACTTAATTATATATATTACTTAGGGCATGCTGTGCTTTGTTCTGGCTTATGTTACATTTTGATAGTAGATGTTTCGTTTTGCTTCTTTAGAACTCTTTCTCTTTTAATTCTTTCTAAAATGAATTGTTCATTCTGGTTTCTCTTCAGATCATATAAATCTTTTGCCTTTTACTAAAATGAATTGTTTGTCTTCCCATTTCACCCATCCCCTTTACTTTTCAAATTGAGAAGTTTGAATTTGGACTAAATTATGTTTGTTTATTTGCCTAAAAAGTTTCTACAGGCAGGCCCTATATGAGACTATCTTAGAATAGTTTTCTATGGAAAATTCATTTGCAAGTAGCTATTAAGCTACTCTTGCGTTTTGGGTCCTGTTCTGGGTCCCGGAAATACAGCAGTGAATGAAGGACTGGCCTGGGTTGAGTTTGTATTGCGGTTTATTGCTCTGGTGACAAATTTAAGAAAGCTGAAGGTGAAATTTCTACAAGTGCATATATATAGAAACTATGACACATTCTGGTAACATACTGTTCTAATTCTACTCTTGTGAAAATAGTGGGGAATGAGAAATGATTAAATCATGCATTTTATAACATGCTTTTTCGCCATGTTAATCACACACTCTATTCTGCGTCTCTAACATTTTCTAGAAACTGGCAGACCTTTCTCTTCGTATTCAACAAATTGAAACAACTCTCAATATTTTAGATGCAAAGGTATGTATTTCTAAATACAGCATAAACTTTGTTGTATGTACGCCATCTTCCTCAGTCATATTTAGAATATATTTGTAATCAACCTAACCCTATATCTGTGAAGTGATACAATGTTGTACATTTAAAAATATATTGAAATTGCAAGGCAATGAGTGCTGTTTATTATAGACATTAACTTAGTCATTTCAAATGAACTAACTCATGGTTTGAGAGTTCTATTATGCCAATTAAAAGTACAGTATAAATGTCATGTTAGCAAATTAAGCTGTTACATGGTTCATATTATTTAATGGAAACTCAAAATTATTTTAATGGTTATAATGCAGAAATAGTGCCACAATAATATAATATTTGGAGTAAAACAAGAGTCTCCTGAGCAAAATTTATAAATATTCTCTGATATTTTCAATTGTAAACATCTTGAAAGTTAATGAATCAGAAATTGCCAAGAAGTTGGGTACAGGAGTCCATATTGATAATCCCAGTTCTCAAGAGGCTGATGCAGGAGGAAAATGAATTTGATGCCAACACTTACCCGATCTATACAGAAAAGAGACTGTCTCTTTAAAAAAGGAAATGACAGCTGGGGAACCAGCATAAGACTGAACCAGGTGCCTTGAACATGGCTGTTAGTTGGGAGGCCTGGATGCTCTGTAGGGCCTCTGGCAGTGGGACCTGTGTGCTAATGGACACTGGGAGCCCATTCCCTATGGAGGGACACTTTCTCAGCCTAGATACACAGAGAGGGCCTCGTCCTGCCCCAAACAATGTGACAGACTTTGGTGATCCCCCGTGGAAGGCCTCCCCCTCCCCGGGGTAGGTGTGGGATGGGAGTTGGTAGGGTGAGTGGGAGGACAGGAGGGAGAGGAGACTAGCATTGGTATGTAAAATAATCTTTTTAATTTAAATAAAAATTAATTTAAAAAAAAGAGGCCCCAGGTACAGCAGTAGATGACCAACACACACACACATACACACACACAACACACACACACACACACACACACACACACACACACAAGAAAATGAGAGAAGGCAGCAAACAAAAGGCCCCATGTTACCTGGGAAGAATAATTTTTATTTGAAGCCTAGAGATTTTTATAAATGACACACTTAATTATAACTTGTTTTAATTTGTAATGATGAACATTTTTTTCCTGTTTATGAGGTAAAGGAGAAACACTGTGTTGCTTTTTTTTTTTTTTTAATTCAACTGTATTTGTGATTTTTTTTTTTTTTTATTCTCCCTTCCATGATACTCCATGAAAGTGTTCGGTGTCTGTGTCTATGTGTTTGTTCAAAAGTGAATTTAATTTTTTTAATTTATCAAAAATTTACTAAACATTTAAGTGGAAAAGTCTGTGTTCGCATTAGAATAAGGAAATAAAGATGCGGTTGTACTTTCTCTGCCCTTTATGAACTTGAGAAAATATGTTGCCTGAGAATGTTTCTCTGGCATAGAAACGTAGAATATGTGTCCTTGAATATGCTGTGGGTATTCTAGCAGTCACAACAACACTCTTGTGACTTTGGGGCCCCGGCCTCTTTGCAAAGCACTATTGCAGTCAACACTACGCAGTGACTTCTTGCTTGAGACCCAGTGGCTCCTCGTGCCCTTTCTTAGAACTGTGCCTTATTTTAATGGTTGGGGAATTTTAAGGAGCTGCCATGCAAGAACACAAGTTACATTTCCATGTGGACGAGTTAACCTTAGCATTTCCCCGGCTGCAGTGTAACCCACAGCCAGCAGACATCTCCTAGACACACCACATATTACCAGGGTAAAATCAGGAAGGACTTTTGTAAAACCCCAAATGCTTATCTGTTTGTTTTCAAATGCTACTGTTCTAGTCTGCAAGGTTGACAATATGCCCATTTATTGTGAATAAAAAAGCACATTTTAGTAACATTCAATGATAGATGTTTACCTAGCTCTGTCATGTAGTAAAACGTGAAGACATATCTCGTATAATGGAGACGTCCATGTGCTCAAGGGCTGGGTAGGAGAACACTCAGTGAAGTGGTTGCCATACAAGCTTGAGGACCTGAGTTCAGGCAGGAGAAAGAAGGATCCAGTTAATCCAGCCAAACGGAGGCGCTCCAGAGTCAGTGACAGACCCTTTCTCAGAAGATGGTAAAGGCATAGTGAGGAGGGAGACTCTGGCACATCACAAGCATGCACATGTACACACACACACGGTTGCTAACCTCCACTGTCACACATTCACACACACGCGCGTGTGCGCACACACACATACACACACGCGTGCGCACACACATATACACACACGTGCGCGCACACACATATACACACACTCACACATAAGTGCACACACTCACATACACACACTCACACATAACCCACGCACGCGTACACACTCACATATACACACATACACATACACACATACATACACACACACACTCACACATACACACACACTCACACACACATACGCTTACATCACACATGCACATACACTATGTGCTCCAGAATACTCTTCTTTAGCAAGTCATTTTTAATAAAAATGTTTCAAAAACGATTCCATAAGGAAAATGTCCTCATCCTTGTTACAGACAATAAAATTGGAGGGATAAGGAAGGTGGAGCAGAAGCAGTCAGACTCCAAACCAACACCCTCAGTTCTTGCTCTAAGATACTCTGCAGCTTTAACGATTATTTATAGGAAAAGAAGGCTTGTCAACTAAATTATATAAAAGTATCGTGAATGTTTTTCACTTTGTGTTTATGACATGGAGGTTAAAGATGAAAATTCTGAACCTACATAATTGTATAGGTTAAAGGGCGCTAAGTAAGAACCCACAGGCACAAAGGGTTTTCTGTTCACTGAAATGATCTTCATGTCCCAACACTAATTTACATTTCTCAGCTGTCATCTATCCCAGGCCTAGATGACGTCACAGTTGAAGTGTCTCCTCTAAGTGTCACTACTGTCCCAAATGGATCACATTCTGGAAGCACTTCAGAGCAGCCACAGGTAGGAGCCTATTTACAGGGGACATCTTGGTTGGGCTGGATAGCCCTCGCTTAGACTATGGAAGATGCTGAGGATGAGGCTCTTAGTAGTCTAATTATAAAACCTGAAACTGCAGAACACATTCAGAGAAAAAGGAGCTAGCTATTTTGTTTTCTAATTTTATTAAAACTTTATTGTATTATATGTGTGTGTCATATATATATGTATGTATATGTATATATATATATATATACACATATATCTGTGTATATTATATATATTTGGCTTTTATGCCATAATGTTCCTCTATGCTCCTATACATTTAAAGCTTTTTACTATTTATTTAAAAATCTCCATTATATACATGTTTCAGTGAGGTATTAAAATATGAAATAAAACAATCACCAAAATACTAGTGACCCACTAAAGTAATATTAACAAAGTAAACATCATTTGTAAGTAAGTATTGCGGTTGTACCTAGAAGTATTCTCACACAGTATTTTTAGGTCATGGTGATGTTGCTAATTAAGTTAGTAGCTGACAAAGAAAGCTTGCTGTGTGTCAGTACAGGCATAATTCTAAGTGTTTTTATAACTGAATGCATTTAATCTTCAGAAAAGCCCTATCACGAAAACAGAGTTAGTTGTCTTCAATGCCTGATTCTGCATCTCAGGATTTACCTAGACATACATTAAGAGTATTCAGAAAAAGAATTTGTATGTAGGCAGGGCAGTGGTGGCACATGCCTTTAATCCCAGCACTCAAGAGGCAGAGACAGGTGGATATCTGTGAGTTCTGAGGCCAGTCTGGTCTATAGAGAGACGTCCAGGCCAGGCGCCAAAGCTACAGAGAAACCCTGTCTCGAAAAACCAAATAATAATAATAACAACAACAACAATTTGCATATTTTTTGTCATTATTCCTTAAACAACATGACTGTTTACTATAAGTAATCTAGAGATGGCCTAAAGCACACTATGGGGTAAGAGTAAGTTAAATTCAGATACTAAGTGCCACAGTATATAGGAGACTCCTAGCAGCTGCAGATTTCAATATTCTTGGGGTCCTAAAACCAGGTCCCTGCAGATCCCCAAATACCTATTGCTGTTAATCATACCTGAATTTCTTGATTTGCTTTGCAGATTCAGGAACACCTTTATATGTCTGACCATTTTTGAGTTGTAAATTCATTCATTTAGAGTATTTGGAAGTTCTGTAGCCTTCCTGCATTTACAAAATTGTGGTGGGTTTTGGTTGATCAACCTGATAAAATTACTCTTGAGCTTGTTAACATTGAGATCAACTTCTCACTTTTTCTTCATTGACATTAGCTAGTGTGCTTTTATATAAAACACTTTGAAAGGGACTGAAATATTGCTTTCTGCAGATTTTCATGGATATTATCATCAACTCAGCTATTACATGGGAGGTGGAGGCGGAAGGATCAGGAGGTCAGCGTCATCCTTGGCTATGTAGTGAACTGGAGGCCGGTCTAGGCTATACAAGACCCTGCCTCAGCACAAAATCTCAACAAAGTCATCCCTTTATTACTGTCTCTAAACCATGAGTCCAAGTCCTGAGGTTTCTCTACTGACATTTGTGCAACTTTAACTTAAGGGCCAGGTCTTATCATTGTTCACAGTAGAGTAGCCAGTTACTCAGATTAAGATCAATTTGCAAATGAAATGACAGGCAGTTGAAAGAAGGATTATGAGACTTACTGGGCCATTCGTGTAGTAGAGGTATGATAGTGCATAATTAAACCCGTGAGACCTTGAAGGGCGGGCACAAGGTCGCAGCTGGAAGTTGAAACTTAGACTGGGTTACAGTTCTTCTCATTTGCTCCGCTGGGCTTTGAGTGAATCTTCTTTCTTTTTATGCTTAGCAGTGTTTTCGACTTCCGTGTATAAGTGTTTTGCAGATGAATACGTATATTGTCAATCACTTTTTAAACATTTAATAATATCACATACTGGAAGAAACCACTTTGTATTTCTTTTATTGCTTCAGAGTTCCATTTTTAAAGATGTACCTTACATATAGATTATATTAGAAAAACTTTACAATGTAAACATGATTTATGTTCATTTTCTAAAGACTAGAGATTTTTGTTTTGTTTCTTTTTTTTTAAGACAGGGTTTCCCCGGGTAGCCCTGTTTGTCCTGGAACTCGCTGTATAGACCAGGCTGGCCTCGAACTCAGAGATTCACCTGCCTCTGCCTCCTGAGTGCTGGGATTAAAGATATCTGCCACCACCTGGCTAAGTCTGAAGATTCTAACAATAGTAATTTTTCCACATTTTAGCCTAGATACATTGACATAAGACTAATGACATCTGCAGAAGAAATTCCTTGTAGCAGTTACACCAATGCTGACTGAAAGTCACAAAAATACGTTTATTCTAAGTGTTCAGATTGGTAGGGAAGTCCAGTCCTGTGTGCCAGTGAGTCTCTGCAGGGCTTCCGCGTGCCCGAGCTGTAAAACAGCGATGTGCAGCATCACACGGGTGCTGTTGTTTAAAAACCCCATTCCCCGGTACTTGTCACCGAAGCTAGTTTTTAGTATTTTTGCCACTCTGTTAACTCTGGGACCATTAGTAACGGCTCTTCAACACGTGAAATGTACACAGCCAGAGAATCCGGTTATCTCCGAGAAGTCTCTGAGCATTGCTTTCTAAAAACGTGAATCACCATGCCCATTTAGAATATGCTTTTTAATAAGTGAGGAGACATTAGGGTAGATGGTGGGTGCCTAGAAAAGTAACTCACTGCCCATTGGTTGAGAAAAGTAACTAGAAAAGTAACTCACTGCCCATTGGTTGAGAAAAGTAACTAGAAAAGTAACTCACTGCCCATTGGTTGAGAAAAGTAACTAGAAAAGTAACTCACTGCCCATTGGTTGAGAAAAGTAACTAGAAAAGTAACTCACTGCCCATTGGTTGAGAAAAGTAACTAGAAAAGTAACTCACTGCCCATTGGTTGAGCATTTGAGAAATGAAAGCGTTTTACTAGTGTCCTGATATAGACACCCATCGTGTTTCATGGGATAAAGAAAGGAAAACTAAAAAATGCATTGCACTTTAAGGAACAACATATATTGATGATATAAATTTAGCTTATAAATATTTATAGGTACTTAGAAACATATTAGCCATAATTAAATTATTGACGTTTAAATATAAGAATGCAATTTTAACAATATTTATTGCCTTATAATTATAAAAATAAACATCCTGTTTAAGTCACATGATAGACACTTTCTTGAATGTTCAAAGATTTTCATAGACTCTCTACAGCAGGACAATACACAAGACTCTGGACCACAGGAAAGTGAAGTTTCATCAGAAAATATCTTAACCGTCGCCAGGGATCCAAGATATGCCAGATATCTCAAGATGGTTCAAGTGGTAAGCTGATTTGGTCTGTCTGCTCTGTCTAACCCTGGGGAGGTCCCTGTTGTTTTCTATCTGAGAAAGCTGCTAACCTGCAAGTTTTCTAGTCTCTTGCTTCTCTCCTGCTTAATAATGTATTATAAGAAGAAACCATAAGTCCAATCTTTCCCACTAAAATCAATTACACAGGGGAGATGGTTCAGTGGTTAAGAGCATTGACTGCTCTTCCAGAGGACCCAGATTCCATTCCCAGCACTCACCTGGCAGCTCTCAACTGACTGTAGCTCCAGTTCCAGACATACATGCTGGCAAAGCACTGATGCCTGTTGTTCCAGACAGCGTCAGGGTGGGCTCACTCTTGTGGCCTGGGTCTCAGGCTGGACCCGCCATTGGCTGGCCACTCCCTTAATCTCGACACCACCCTTACTCCAGCACATCCCATAGGCAGGACAGACTGTGGGATGAAGGATATGTGGCTAGGTGGAAGTCTTGCCTGGTCGCAGGAGATGGCCAGTTCAAGCTACATATCTGCTATTGCTAGGAGTCTTAGCTGGGATCATCCTTATAGGTTCCTAGGAATTTCCCTTGTGCCAGGTTTCTCCGTGGCCCCGAAATAGCCCCCTGTACTATACTCATGGATTGGTACCCAACCCAATTATCATCAGAGAGTTTGAATCAGCAACTGGTGGGGACAGATGCAGAGACCCCTAGCCAAATTTTGAGCAGAGCTAGGAAATCTTGCAAAAGAAAGGGAGGATTATAGCCTGGAGTGTCAAGAACAGCACATAGAAACTGCTAACCTGGGCTCATAGGAGCTCACAGAGTGAACCAACAACCAAGGAACCTGCATAGGACTGACTGACTGACTTAGGCACTCTGCATATATGGGACAGTTGTATAGTTTGACCTTCCTATGTGACTCCTAATAATCAGGTCAGGAGCTGTCTCTACTCTTTTGCTGGCCTTGAGGACCTTACTCCTCATACTGGATTGCCTTGCTAAGCCTTAATATGTGGGGAGATACTTAGTTTTATTGTACCATGTTATGCCATTTTTATTGATATAAAAGGCCTGCCCTTTCCTGAACAGAAACAGAGGAGATTGGGGGTCAAAGGGGAGGTTATGGAGGGGGGACAACTGGCAAAAGGCAGAGGGAAAACTGAGGTAGGGATATAAAATAAGTTAATTTAAAAACCACTGTAGCAATTATGACAAATAACAGATATGAGAACACTTTGTAGTATTAACTTTTCTGAATTAAAAAAAAAAAGACTGTATAATGTTTTAATAAGAATAAGGAAGGGTTCATCTCGAATATGAATAATAATGAACCCAGGAAAGATTATACTTGAAAGATAAATCTTAAAAACTGTGTGACTCTTCAGATAAGAAAGAAAAGCCTTCAGAATGACACATAAGAGCTTCTATGGCAGTGTCTTAAGGCATGAGAAAATGGACTTGGGTTTTCTGAGCCCTTCCATTTAGGGTTAGATAGCAGTCCTGTGTCCATGGTGCCACTTCCCACAATTGCAGTTCATCGGTCATCTGCTATCTGGAAACACTAAATGGGCGTTTCGTAACGGAACAGTTCATGCACTTTAAATTATTTGCTGTTCTGATGCTTTCTCCCTAGAGAATGAGTCTTCCCCTGTCCATTGCATCCAGACTATGTGCACGAGCCACATACCCTGTTAGTCATCGCAGTTCCCAGACAGACTGCGGCACTACCGCAGACATGTAGGCAGGGCCAATGCTCTCAGCACCTGCGTGGCAAGTGCCAGAGCTCCTGTAGCGAGGTGGGACACTGCTCACTTATGTCACAGATGCTTACGAAACACTTCAGAAATACATTAGTCAGCTAACATTCCCAAACGCTGCTTACAGTTTTGATTTTTGATATTAATTACTTAAAATAAGTTCTTTTGGGGTGTGTGTGTGTGTGTGTGTGTGTGTGTGTGCGTGTGGTGTCTGCCCTAGCTCATCTGGCCCTGGGATGTTTCTTGGCTAAGTGTGTGCTGAGTCTCCCGCTTGGGGCCTTTCATATCCATCACTCTCTGCCTGGATGCTTCAACCCAGTAGCCGCATGGCTTGCTCACTATTTCCTTCAAATCTCCACTTAAACAGCACCTTCTAAGTGCAGGCTTTGTTGGTCACCCTCTATAAACGACAGTCTCCTCTGACCTCGTTTTCACAATGAGGAATCTGTGAAGTACAGGTTCATGGCTCAGCCCAGAGAATTGGAATCTCTGGATGTAGAATTCAGAGACAGACCATATGTTTTAAAAATGGTCACTAATAAAAAAAAAATCTTTTTTTAATGCCATTAGAAAGTTTTATTTAAAATATTTTTAAAAGCAAATGTTTTGTTAAGGAAGAAAGAATAGGCATAACTCTCTAGAAGTGTTTGACTTTGACTCTAGACCATCTTTTTTGCTTCTATGCCTGAACATAGCAGTGTCCTGGTTTGATCTATCTCGGACTTTCTCTGATGAGAACAGGTTTCCCTGCGTTGAGCTCCTGCCTTCCCTCAGTCTTTGGTACAGGTATTTCTGTGTTCTAAGCATCCCAGGCTCCTTCCTGGTGTCCCCTTCTTGGGACACATGTCCCCATCTGTCACGCTAGCTCATCAATCATCCTTCCCTCTGCTTTTAATTTCCAAGCATTGTGGTTCTTACATGCCTCTTAGTCACTGAAGTTAGAGGTTGTTTTCTAATTGTTTGGGGGTGGTTTTCAAGAAGAAAGGGAGAAACAATATCTGTACCCTGCCATCCCAAAACTGGAAGTTCATCCAAGTTAAATTTAATTTTATTGTTTTCAGCTCATTGTGCCAACCTGTATCCCAGACTCTTATTACCCAACTTTTATTTCCTACTGTTCCTTGTCCTGAATTCCATTCTTCATTCAAAGCAAACCACAAGTCCTTCCTCACATAAGTGCAGTGTGCTTTTCCAGTCTGAGCCTAGACTCTGCTCCTCCTAATTACTACTTTTTCAAATTCTGCTCATCTCACATCCCAGATTCTGAATGTACCAGTTCATAACGCTAAAACAATATTTCCCTTTGTTACCTGTGCAGCAAGTTTTTCTATACTCATTATGGAATTTGTTATTTTATACCATTTTCTGTGAATGTGAGTGTGTGTGTGTGTGAGTGTGTGTGTGTGTGGTTGTGTGTGTGTGAGTGTGGTTGTGTGTGTGTGTGTGTGTGTGTGTGTGTGTGGTTGTGTGTGTGTGTATGTGTGTGTGTGTGTGAGTGTGTGTGTGTGTGTGTGTGTGTGATCACCAATCAAAAGAGGAACTGTGTGAGTGGGGGGGGGGGGGGGGGGGGGGGGGGGGGGCCAATCAAAAGAGGAACTGTAGCCTTGAGTGATCTTTGTGTTCATTTTACCACTTGTACTTGTGCTGGCTGATTTTCTTGTCAACATGACACAAACTAGAGTCATTTAGGAAAAGGACTCTCAGTAGAGAACATCCATCCATCAGATTGGTCCACAGGCAAGTCTGGCAGCCATTTTCTTGATTAGTGAGTGATGTGGAGGGGCCCAGTCCACTGTGGGTGGGGCCCCCCTGGGCAAGCGGGCCTAAGTTCTATAAGAAGGCAGGCTGACGAGCCATGGGGAGCAAGCTGGTAAGTAGCCTTTGCCCGTGGCTTCTGTCTCAGCCCCTGCCCTGGCTTCCCTAAGTGATGGAGTGTGAGCTGAGAGTTGTTAGCTAAAATAGACCTTTCCTCTGCAGTGGGTCATGCTGTCATGGTGATAGTCCCAGCTGTGAAAGCATCGTAAGGGTGTTGGGCCAGTCTTTCCAGGCACAGTGTGAAGGGACTGTCCTTCTTTGCTCCAACTTGAGTCATGTGGAAATGCGTGATTAATTCCTATTTCTTCAAGTTGTGGGTTTTAGATGTTTTCTAGGACAAGGCAAGATGTGTCTCTCAATGTTAACACTAATCTTTGGAATCCAATTATTAATCTGTATGTAGACACTTTCTGGTGTGTCTTAAACATGCTGTGAGTGGCTGTCAAAACTGGGATTGGTGGAACATGATGACATTACACCTGCTGTAGGAAATGCCAGGCAGTAGAGTCATTTGTTTATTAGTGACAGGAGAAGAGTATTTAGATTAGTAGATTAGTAACCCAGGGTAGTACAGTGCCTTCCTGTTCTCTCTTAGCCTTCTGTCAACTGTATACACTTCTAAGTTGCTTCAATCCCTTGAGTGTGAAAATTAGCAGAGTACAGAGGGATATAGATAAGATGGTAAACATAGTTCACTGCCATCCCCCAAAAGCAGCCTACTTTAGCTGATTCTAGTACATTCCTTCATTGTAAATTTCTTCATCAGTGGTGAAAAGTATTTACTTTGCCCAAAAGTTCAGAGATTTTATTAAAATGTCCTGTTTTTCTCAGCTTCAGACAGTCACTAATGTTTCCCTTGCTTTCCTAAGACTGTTAATGCAGAGAAACTGATCCAAAGGATTTTACTTGTGTATAGACACAGTCTTGAGTATGCATTACTGTAAGCCAGGAAGCTGTGTGTAGACATGATCTTCAATAATGTGCCATCCACTTTGCATTACTATAAGCCATGAAGCTGTGTCATGGAAGCCCACATTCTAGCTATTAGGGAGGTATTTGTATTTGTATTTGTATTGACAAAAACAAAGCCTGGCCTAAAACAAACAAAGCAAATGTGCCTCTGACAAAAGAAAACCCAGTGTGTATATCAAGAGCATAAATCATGCTCTCAAAAGGGAGCCCGTGGCGTCACAAAGACTCACCTCCTCTGCACAGTACTGGCATTCCTTTCTTCTTCAGGGACATTAAGCTGTTACTCCTAGGTAAACTCCACTGTGCCGAGCTCATCTTTATCCACAGTGTGATAGTGTCACTCGGTGGCATCCCTTTCCTGGACATGCCCTTGGGGATCGTGTTGCCTTTCCTTCTGCTTCCTTCCTGCATTGTTTAGAACCATTTCACCCTCTCAATTAGACAGTCCTTTTCAAGATGCCTCTGTGTTTT